CCTTTCTAACAGGACATCCGCAGGAGTTGCCAGAAAGCCTTTGATTGCTCATCTTGATTGCTCACACAACCCCTGGAGGAAGGGACTACCAACTAAAAGAATGAATTCTGTCAAGCGAGCTGTTGTTATCTATTTACCTCTCTCCCGGTGACAGTATCTCACTATTTCAGGAGCACTCAGGTGTAACACTTGGGTTTCTTACAAACGGATCTGATGTCCCTAGCTGCCTTGGAGGCTCAAGCTTCACGCTGTCTCTGCCTTCTGGCCTCTGAACTGCCAATTGCAAGCAAGGAAAGAATTGGGAGTCCCCCGATGTTGAGGGGGGGGGGGAAATTCTGTAATAAGAACTTGAGTGCAATAAGAAACCACTTAGAGAGTCCCATTATATCTCCTGCCATCTTTCATTTTAGCAGCAGTTTTAGTTTATCCTCTGAGAGATCAACACAGTGCTGAAATGGTTCTTGCTTCTCTTTGTTTATATTATTTTTCCTTCCCCCCCAAAGGCAAGGCTCAATTGAAAAACCGAGCATTTTCAAGAAGGGGCTCTAGTGGGTATTAAGGAGGAATAAATGAAGTCCACTTCTATGAGGGATTCTTCTGCATGAAAGGAACTTGCTGTAGAGGTAATAGCTGTTCATAGGAGTCTAGGACCAACCAGCATCTTTACCATTTTTACTGGATACATTAGATATTCCAAAAACACATGATCATTTGTTGTTCGGTAACGTTCAATTCTCTGTGACGGACATCATCTCGCCAGGATTTTCTGTGAGTAATAGCTTCTTTGAGTTCTTGTAAACTCTTCCTTGTACCATCAATGATAACCTCTAGCCACCTTGTCTTCTGCTGCCCCCTCTTTCAATGGCCTTCAATTTTTCCAGGTATAATACTACAGGTAGTCCTCATTTAACAACCACAATTGGGACTGGCAACTCAGTCATTAAGCAAAGCGGTCAGTAAGTGAAACCATGACTGTGCTTATGATCTTACTTCAGCTTTCCTTTGCTTTACAGACCGGTGAAGGTCATAAATACAAGGACTGGTCGCAAAGTTACTTTTTCATCACCATTGTAACTGCATACAGTCACTAAACAAGGCAGTTGCTAAACAAGGGCTACCTATACCTATAACCATAGGTCTTATTTGAGTTCAGACAATCACAAAACATTTTCTTGGAAGGGAGATGTCCAAATCCAAATGCAGATGTTTCTCCACCTTTCATGCTTGGTTAAGGAGGACAGTTTGAGCGTCAGGGAAGGGAGAATGCCAGCATGAAAGACCATGAATGGTGCCTTCTTAAATTCCTTCCCTTTGATTGCAGAGTGAGAACTTCTCACTATCCAAATCCAAAATACAGAAACCCTTTCTCCACTCTTCCCATCCACTCAACAAAGTCACAGTCCAACTGTGGTTATTTTTGTAAGCCTCTCATTAGGTTGCCAAGCTTTTCTTCTTTTCAGCATCCTTTCTGGGGACGGGCCACCAAACCTGTTTACTGGACACTTCCTTAAGAGCCGCTGCTGGCCATTGTACTAAACGACCAGGTGGTTTTCTCCTTGCTTCCCCCGTATTTTGTTTGATCCGATTAGGAGTCCGGTTTTGGCATTTCTGATCAAAAGAAGATAAATGCTCTCCTTTGTACAGAACATAAACATTCTTCCCGCAGCTTGGGAAATAATGGTTTTTCCTCTATAGTACTCAGAGTCTCTTCTTTTGTGCTAGCCATTTCTAAATATTCCTGATCTGCAGGCCCCAAACTGTTGCTGTGTTTGATCAAAGACCCTTCAAAGGAATGGTGCTGTAGTTTTGAGTTGCCTGTTGGCAGGAAGCAAAGTTCATCCTTGAAGCTCTTAACCACGTAAACCAGAATTTGTGTTGAGATTGTCCCTCAATAGCAGCAGTAATCTTTGAAAATCGCAATAAAATAAAAGAGAATTCAGGGGATAAAACTGGTGCAAATCTTTACATTCCTCAGGGTGGTGTGTGTGTCTGTATATACAGTATATAT